CTGTGGATCTGATGGTATTTGAAAATAGAGTTTCTTTGTTATGTTAATTGGATCATAACTTTAGTAGAGTGGGTTCTAAATCTAATCACTCCTGGATTATCAAAAGAGCAGATTAGACTGTGTTTAAAAATGGACACATCTTTGGTTTCTGATTGTGAAAACAACACAGGCTCACTATTAACAAAAATTCAAACCATCCACAAACTAGATCAGTGCTGTCCAATAGAAGTTTAATGTAAGCCATATATATTAATTTCTAAAATTTCCCAGCAGCCACATTTTTAAAAAGTAAAAATAAACAGGTGAGACTGATTTTAATAATATATTTTCTTTAAAATAATGTATCAAAATATCATTTCAACATGTAATCAATAGAAAAATATTAAAGTTATTTTATATTCTCTTTTTCTACTAAGTCTTTTTAAAATTTTGTTTTATTGTGGTAAAAAATATATATAACAAAACTGTTGCCAATTCAACATTTATCATATGTGCAACCATCTTTTCCAAATTATTTTATCACCATTAACAGAAACTCAGTGCCCCCTAAGCTAAGACTTCTCTTTTCCCCTCAAAACCACTGTCTTACTTATCTAGTGCTGCTATAACCAAAATACCACAAGTGGGTGGCTTTAAGAAACAGAAATTTATTTTCTCACAGTTTAGAGGCTAGAAGTCCAAATTCAGGGTGCCTGCTCTAGGGGAAGGTCCTTGTCTCTTTGAGCTTCTGCTCCTATGGGATCATCATGTGGCTTGACATCTCTCTTCCCCCCCCACCCCTGTCTCTTTTTTTGCTTTCTTGTTTAATCTCTTTTGTATCTCAAAAGAGATTGATTTAAGACACACCCTACACTAATCCTATCTCATTAACATAACAAAGACAACCCATTCCCAAATGGAATTATAACCACAGGTTAGGATTTACAACGTATATTTTGGGGGGGCACAATTCAATCCATAACAACCGCTGATAAGCTTTGGTTTCTATACATTTGCCTATTTCATGTAAGTGGGATCATAGAATATTTGTCCTTTTGTGACTGACTGACTTTATTCAGCATAAAGTTTTCAAGGTTCATCTATGTATCAGGACTTCATTTCTCTTTCTATAAATCTTTGAAACTTGGTGTGTATTTTACACTTACAATTTGGACTAGCCACATTTCAAGTGCTTAGTAGTCACACGTGGCTGGTGGCTACCATATTGAACAGCGCAGAGTTAGAATACAAAAGATGCCTGCAACCAAAGACACAAGAAAAGTATTAGCCCAAGAGACAGAAAGGGCCACATATACCAGAGACTTCATCAGCCTGAGACCAAAAGAACTAGATGGTGTCCAGCTACCACCAATGACGGCCCTGACAGGGAACACAATAGACAGTCCTGGATGGAGCAGGAGAAAAGTGGGGTGCAGAACTCAAATTCTAGTAAGAAGACTAGACTTAATGGTCTGACTGAGACTGGTGGAACCCTGGAAAGCATGGCCCCCAGACTCTCTGTCAGCCCAGAACTAAAACAATTTCCAAAGCCAACTCTTCAGACAGGGATTGGACTAAACTGTGGGACATAAAATAATACTCACGAAGAGTGTGCTTCTTAGCTCAAGTAGATACATGAGACTAAATGGGCAGCTTCTGTCCAAAGGTGGATGAGAAAGCAGAAGAGGGTTAGGAGCTGGTTGAATGGACATGGGAAATCAGGAGAGGAAAGGAGTGTGCTGTCATAGTATAGGGAGAGCAACTAGGCTCACATAACAATGTATGTATAAATTTTTGTATAAGAGACTAACTTGAAAAGTAAGCTTTCACTTAAACTACAACAATAAACAAACAAAAAAAAAGAGTTTACGAGGTGGTAGCTATGGGAAAATAATTTAACTTTACCTAAAGAAATTGGCTTTCAATCTTGGTTCCTGAAAGATAACCTCTATAACTTTGGAATTTCCCCAGGGATTGAAGTATCTTTTATCTATAAGAGCTTCAGATCACACCTGAGGATTTATGCTAGTGAGGTGACTCAAGTGGAGGCTAGCCAGGGCAGAAAGACCCACCATATGGTATCAGCTGACCTCAGAGAAGGAGGGCATGATTTAATCAGTCATGCCTTTGTAATGAGGCCCCCAGTAAAGGCTCTGAACATGGAAGCTCCATGGGCTTCCTGGTTGGTGAAAGATACCAATGCACATGAGAAGGTAGCACATTCCTTTTTGGGAGATGGAAGTTTCTCATTGGGAATTGTCTCAGACCTCACCATATGTGTCTCTTTATTTGTATCCTTTTTGCTATAATAAAACTGTAATCATAAGTAAAAAAAAAAAAAAAGATGCCTGCAATTCCATCCTAGAGATAATCACTATTAATAACAATCTGTTTCTTCTTAGATTTCAAAAAGGTATTAAAATGCATAGTCTTCTATATTGTCTTACATCATGTTTAGAAATAAACCAATACAGGTTTTTTTTTTTTAAAGTTGTCTTAAAAAAAAAAGGAAAATGTAGAGACTGTGTAAAAACTATTCTTTCAAGAGAACTTGGCTGCAAAGTAGAAGAAAGAGAGATTGGTTAATTAGAGGTGATATAGGAAGAAAGGGAGGGTTGTTGGTTTGTTTGTTTTTAATGGTAGATACTTAAGTGCCTTTATAGGCCAAAGGAAGAAGGCGAAAGAAAGATGAGATAGAAAATCCAGGAGAGGGGATGTTAAAATCTGAGAGTAGTTCATCCTTACCCCATTGGTTTGACATCTTTGCTTTATAGTAAACAAAATTCCTGTGTGTATTTGCATTTGGTTCTAGGCTTTCTATTCTCATCCATTGATCTGTCTATTCATGTGTGCCATAGTTGCCTAGGGCTGCTGTAACACAAGTACCACAAGTGGGTGGCTTTAAAGAACAGAAATTTATTGTCTCAGTTCTGGAGGCTAAAAGTCCAAATCAAGTTTTTGGCGAAGCTGATTTCTTTCTTGTCAGTGACCCTTGGTGTTCCTTGGTTCCTTGGAGTTCCTTGGCTTGTAGATGATCCTCACATGACATCTGTTTCCCCCCGTGTGCATGTCTCTATGTCTAATATGGTCTTTTTATAACTCAGAAGTAATGAGGTTTAAGATCCACTCTATACTGGTATGACTTCATTAACATAACAAAAGAAAAGCTTTATTTCCAAACAGGGTTACATCTACAGGTACAAGGGCCAGGAATTCAATACATATTTTGGAGAGGACATAATTCAATCCATAGCAGGCAGATTTTGCATTCCGTTGATTTTGTTCATTAGTCATATTTAGGGTTCGAAATTGCCTACAGTGTCTCCTTTGATTGCCCTTCCTTGATGTTCTTCAGTCTCTTGCTGGGTGAGTGCCTCTTGCCGGTCCTCTTTCTTTCCTTGGAGGCCTTTAGTAGTCAATGCCCTTTCATTTTCAGTCCCTCCTAGACCAGGATATATGGGGAAGGGAGTATCCAATTCAGGTGTGGCCAAGCCCATGCCTACAGGGATGGATGGGGCCCATGGCCTGGAGAATTTGAGAGCATTCCAACGGAGAGCACTACCTGTACACACATGGACACAATGCCTGCTCTTCAAAATTTGGATGTTTATGAGAAATTGCCCAACTTTTAAATGTTAGGAACTAATTAAAAGACAAAACAACGCATAATTTCTAAACAAAACACCTCCAGAGGCCACCAGTTTGTAAACTTTGATCTTATTGGTATCGATACATGAATTATTCTAGTTTGGGTTTAAATCTTTAGTCTCTAAAGTTCTTTTGCCAAACAAAATACTTATTCTTAAGCTTGTCTAAGCTGGTCATTACTCATCATTTATACCATGTTGAGTTAATTCCAGACTTCCTTGGAGACAAAACATTGGATGACTGCACTGAGGAATTTCCTGTCTCCACTTGTACTGCCAGAGAATTATTAGATTACACAAAGAAATAACAGATGGGTCACTGAATGGGGGAAAAACAAACCTGCCTATCTTGGTTATCAAGTGCTGCTATAACAGAAATACCACAAATGGATGACTTGAACAAGGATAAATTTCTTCTCTCAGTCTAGTGGGCTACATGTCTAAATTCAGGGCATCAGTTCCAGGGGAAGGCTTTCTCTCTCTGTTGGCTCTGGAGGAAAGTCCTTGTCATCAATCTTCCTCTGGTTGAGGAGCTTCTCAGCACAGTGACACGTCCTCCTGCTCTTCTTTCTTGGTGGTATGAGGCCCCATATCTCTCTGCTCAGTTCTCTCTTTTATATCTCAAAAGAGATTGGTTTAAGACACAATCTAATCTTGTAGCTCTCATCAACATAACTGCCAATAATCCATCTCATTAACATCATAGTGATAGGATTTACAACACAGGAAAATCACATTAGATGACAAAATGGTGGACAGTCACACAATACTGGGAATCATGGCCTAGCTAAATTGATACACATATTTTTGGGGGACACAATTCAGTACATGACACTGCCTAAAGGAGCAATTTCACATATCACTGCGTCTTACCTGCTATGGTGTATTTTGAGGAAGATCATGACCCTTGACTGATTTCTCTCTGAACAAATATTTTCATCACAGGACTAACATGTCCTATTTCTTGGAATGATTTCTAAAGCCATCTAACATTTTTGCTAGTGGGTAAACACTGCTTGCAGAAAGTGGGAAAGTTGTCATTGTTTAAGGAGGTCTGGTTCTCACAAAGCTAAAAGATACTATAAATCCAAGAAGGGGATACCAAATAATTGTTGTTTGTATATACTTCCTTTTTTTTTTTTTTGGTTAGCTGCTCTCTTAATATTGCTATAAGAATATTGTCTCTTACTTTAAGTCATCCTATATTTAATTCGTTTAATTACCAGTTGTGTTTGGGGATTTTTAATGAATGAAATGCTCAAGTATATAATGTTTTGGAGGGCCAGGAAGGCAGAGGCCGCATTAACTGGACTTGTGACCCGGAGCTGATTGCCAAACCCATTGGACCTTGTCTCTTCCCTCTCTGTGTTCTAGGATGGCAGTGCTCCCTATGCTTCCAGGTACGTGGGCTCCATGGTGGCTGATGTGCACCGTACCCTGGTCTATGGAGGGATCTTCATGTATCCAGCCAACAAGAAAAGTCCTAAGGGAAAGGTAATTTTCCACTATCCATGGGCTGAGTATCTGGCCAGTGAGCCAATTGGAGTTCCCTTTCTCCTTACACCTGCCTTTGGTCCCTGCCCCACTCCCTCGTATATCTGTCTGTGAGGGAGCAGGAGAAGAGAAACTACACACATTTCCCATTCGAGAACTGTGAGACTGGGGTAGAAGGTCTGCAGAAGGGCAAGGCTAACTTTATTGTTATTGGTGATTTTCACTTGCCTTCACTTTCTCTGTCCTCACTCCCATCAATCAGCACAAGTCAGTTGGGTTATCTCCCACTTGCCACATGCTGGGTCTGATTTTTAGTTTTAATACCAACTGGTCTTGGATCATTTTGAGAACCTAGTGAAACTTATGGACCTACCTTCCCCCAAAAAATTCATGTAAACATACACCCATTACATATATTTTCAGGGGTTCACAGTTGCTCTGAAGTCCACCCAAGGATCCCCTAGAGAGTCTATAAACTCCAGAATAAGGACACCTGCTCTGAACTCATTCACTGTTTCTGGAAAGGTAGCTCCTGGAAGACCTTACTGCAACTTTGTAACATCAAACAGAAAATACTTGTATTATCAAATGGGAGAAATCCTTGGGTAGTGCAAATAGTTAACACACTTGGCTGCTAACCAAAAAGTTGGAGGTTTGAGTTCATCCAGAGGTGCCCTGGAAGAAAGGCCTGGCAATTTACTTCCAGAAAAATCAGCCATTGAAAACCCTACAGAGCACAGGTCTACTCTGACACATGTGGAGTCACTATGAGTTGAGGTCAACTCAAGGGCATCTGGTTTTATCCATGGGAAGCTTATGATTCAAATCCATTGATCTTGAATAAAACTTCCCATGGAAATGTGTCTAATTTTTAGCCAATCACAGAAATCATAGGTAAGTAGCCAAATCAAAAAAGTCCTGCCGGTTTCTCTGCCACATGTGAGTATGTCCCTCAGTGTGGCCATGGCTATTTGAATTATTGGAAAGTTAGACTCAAAGCCACAGTAAGAGATCTAATGTAGACATGAGACCAGTGAGAAGATTTTAGTACCCAGTGAATGTGTCAGGCATTTCTCTTCATGTGAGTGTTTGTAGCTGTTGGGTGTCATCTGTTGGTGGTGTTGTGTGCTGTCGAGTCACATTCAGCTCATGTATATTAACCTGTTGAACTAAGTATCACAGAGAGTCTGCCAAAGAGATGCTGACAGGAAGCAAAGTACTCCACAGAGTATTATGTTGAAGAGGTAGACATTCTTAAATAGACTCACTTTTGCCACCTACTCTGTTCCAGGGAGGAGAACATCAAGACCAACTATTTAAATGATTGTAAATCAGTCAGAAAATATCCACATATAATTGCATAAACATTTCCTATACCAAAAAACCCATTCCCGTCAAGTCGATTCCAACCCATAGCAACCCTATAGGACAGAGTAGAACTGCCCCACAGGGTTTCCAAGGAGCTGCTGGTGGATTCGAACTGCCCACCTTTGGGTTAGCAGCTGAGCTCTTAACCACTGCACCTACCAGGGCTCCAAACATTTCCTATGGGCGTGTATACTTCCATATGTAAATCACTGTTGATTGCACCATAACCACCAGCATATTGAAAGTACCCTCAGTATCTTATTTCTATGTTTTAGCTCCCATGGTCTCTGTGACTGCACCTGTGTGTGCACGTGTGTGTGTTTGTGCACGCACGCACGGGTGTGCACGCGCCTGCATGTGTGCACGTGGGTGTGCGTGTGTGTGTGTGCACCCATGTCCTCCTGTGTATGCTTGTCTCTATATAGCAGTGTCAACTTTTATTGTAGAAAAAAACAGATCATATGGCTTAAAGACTAAGGCCCCAGGAAGACCTGGGTGTTTTGGTTTTAAGATGAGTTTATTAGAGCAGGGGTATCTACAGTCAGAATAAAAGTTATGTGGCTCCTGAAAGCTTTATGAGTTTTCTCTAAAAATTTGAGCTTTTTTTAAGCCCCCGATTCAACATGGTGAAAACAAAGGCAAATTAGCTTCAATCTGAGCTTTGCTGCCTGACACCTCAAACCCTAACCCCCTCAAGCCCCCAGGGCAAGAGAGAAAGGAAAGAAAAAGCAAAGCTCTACCAGCTGCCAATGAATCTCTGTGCGGTGCAAGTGGTTAACACACTAGGCTGCTAACTGAAAGGCTGGAGGTTCGCGTCCACCCAGAGACACCTGCTAGAAAGACCTGGCAATCTACCCGAACAACCAGCCTGTGGATCACAGTTCTACTCTGACACACATGGAGTCGCCATGAGTTAGAGTCAACTTGACGACAACAGGTTTTTTTCTTACTGGTTTACCAGCTGTCAAGGTCAGGTCTTCCTCAGCCAGCTGGGCTGCCCAAGCCGTGGCTTCCAGTCCCTCCTATAGATGATCAGGGCAAAAATAGCTGACCCAAGGGAGTCCACATGCTCTGGGGCTGCTCTGCGCCCGCCCAGGCTGTCCCCTATGCTAAGAGCCAGAGGTCTCGGGTGAGTGCACCTTCTAACGTCCTACCAAAATGGCAGAATTGAGCCCCAAATATCAGTGGAGTCTTAACTATTTTTCCCACTCTTTGATATAATAATCAGCACAAGATACTACTGTTTCTTAAAGTAGTTTAAAAAAAAATACCTTCAAAATGAATTTGAAGAAAAGAATGGAAAGGACAAGGCTCACAGAGCTGGCTCAGCTATTTTGTAAGGTGATCATAGAAAAGGATTAAAAAAACAAAAATATTACAAATTTTGCACAAATGGGGAGAAGGAAGAAAGGAGAAGATGATATGATATTTGGCCAGAGGCAGCGTAGCAGAGCATCAGCTAGAACTTCACCCTGAGTCTAGCGTAATGGGTGTGTGTGTGTGTTGGGAAAGGGTGGGGGCCTGGGGGGAGTCACAACATAGTCACAGAAGTAGATCCAGAAAGGACATTCAGTTCACTCCAATTCAATCCGACTTATTGGGCCCAGGGCTCCTGCTAGCTTTCATGCTGCCTTGGATGAATTAGAGAAAGTATTCCTCCCTTTGAACAGGCTCGGCCCAGGGTGCTTCTACGCAGCTTGGCAAGCAGGGTGCAAGCTGATTGTAGCCCCTGTTTCTGCCCTCACCTGGAGCCCTCGTGCAAGAGACACACTGTTGCACACCTTCTTTGTGTTGGGCACTACCAGCGATGGAGACAGCACAATGACCAACCAAGACCGGACACGCTCCCTGCCTCCAAGAACCTATAGTCTAGAGAGGAAGTCGGATGGTAAACAGGCCTCTGTGTGCTGACTGCTGTGGAACGGGAAGTACAGGATCCTACAGGAGTGGACAGCAGTGGATTTGGTTTAGTCTAAGGCGGTGAAGGAAGGAGCCCTGGCGGCGCAGTGGTTAAGTGCTTGGCTGGTAACTGAAAGGTCGGTGGTTTGAAGCCACCAGCCACTCTGTGGGAGAAAGATGAGGCAGTCTGCTTCTGTAAAGATTTACTGCCTTGGAAACCCTATGGGGCAGTTCTACTCTGTCCTAAGGTTAGCTATGAGTCGGAACAGACTCCACAGCAATCGATTTGGTTTTTTTTTTTGGTAAGAGGCCAAAAGACATGACTGTTCAAACACCGGCAAACTATTTAGCCAACTTGAAACTTGATATACAGAGTTCTTCCACATGATACCAGCCAGTGTGGTTATCCACAGAGAGACTGCCTAGCATTCTGAAGGCGACTTTGTGATCCCTTCCAGGCGTGATTCCTTACTTGCTGCAAGGCCTCACATACCATGGCTCCTTACTAGACCTGCAGGAGTCCCTGGGTATTGTAAATGGTTAAGGGCTCAGCTGCTAACCAAAAGGTTGGTAGTATCAGTCCACCCAGAGGTGCTTCAAAAGAAAGCCCTGGCGATCTACTTCTGAAAAGTCAGTCGTTGAAAACCCTAGGGAGCACAGTTCTACTGTGACACTCACCGGGTCAGCATGAGTCGGAATCGGCTTGACAGCAACTGTTTTTGTTTTGTTTTAACTAGACCTGCAGAATCAGTTTGCCTCATAGCTAAACCAGCAAGAAATAAGTACCCAGATCTCCTATTTCCAAGTCAAGAGGCAGGTTTCTCAGAAGCATAAAGGGCATAAGACAGTTAGATCCAGGTCTCAGCCACGTGACCACAGGTGACCCCCAAAGGCACATGTGATGAGCATCACCCAGCCTTGTCCAGGGTCTTGGGCTCAGGGGGCCCACTCCCAAGAGGTGCATGCACATACTCATGCTAATGATGCAAATGGACACTGAGTACCCTGAATTCCTCCTCAAGCTTTAGGGGTATGGCTTGGGACGTAGGGCCACTTGCAAGCTTGTCCGCGTGACCCTGTTTCTCTCTCCGCAGCTCCGGCTCCTGTATGAGTGCAATCCTGTAGCCTACATCATTGAGCAGGCTGGAGGCTTGGCCACCACGGGCACTCAGCCCGTGCTCGATGTGAAGCCTGAGGCCATTCACCAGCGAGTGCCCCTCATCCTGGGGTCCCCGGATGATGTGCAGGAATATCTCACCTGTGTGCAGAAAAACCAGGCGGGCAGTTAGAGAGTGTGACCCCGCAGCCCTCTTTGTCTTGAACCTTGTACCAAGGACCCTGAATGAATGATAAGCAGAGAGAGCGGTGATGAAAACGCAAAAAGCAAATCCCCTAATCACATCCAGCAACCAGGAGCCTACCTGTGACAGGTCCAGATGTCAGAAGCCATTCATTCTGTGGTCAACGTCAAGGGCTAACAATAAAAATCCACATATGAAAAGAATAACTGGTTTGTCTTCTGTCATAAATGATGGCAAATATGATTGTAATTCCAAGTCTTTTAAACCAAGTAAGGAGTCCCTGGGTGGTGCAAAGTAACCCTTGTGCTTGGCTGCTAACCAAAAGATTGGAGGTTAGACCAAAAGTCCAACCAGAGGTGCCTCGGAAGAAAGGCCTGGCAATCTACGTCTGAAAAATCAGCCACTGAAACCCTATGGAGCACAGTTCTACTCTGACACACATGGGGTCACCATGTGTCAGAGTCAACTTGACGGCAAGTGGTAAATCAACTAACGAGCGGTTATCCACTTGTGGGCAAGAAGTACATAAATCAGTTAAGAATTTATCTTGGTTGGATCTGAACCCCATGTCTTATCCTATTGTGATTAATTTTATGAAGTATATATAGTAAAACCTGTGAAAGCCAGAACCTGAGTAATGTGGAAACCTGTCAGAGAAGGAAAACTCAAATACACGAAAACTAAATCCACTAAAAAGAATGATAGAAAAGTAGTAAGACTGCACCTTGTCAAAGGCGGAAAACCTTTGAGACCTGGGAAAACAAGGCTGTCCCGTTGAGTTCCAGCTCTCACGGTTTCACTATACATATATTTTTAACAGCTGACTTAATTTCTTAGAAGAGTTTTTGTGCCTTCTTTTGGATAAATTTTGAGTCAGAAAGCTCACAGCTATTAAATTCTGAAATTTTGATTGAGTTTTTTTGAAGAGGCAATAACTTGGATGATCAGTAACTGTCTGAATGGAAAACATGCTCACCTACTCATAAAGCCAGCTGCTAACTGGAGTTAATAGTAAAAAAAATTAATTCCTACTTTTATTAACACTTTAACATTGCATTTTCCTTTTTTTGGGAAATATTTTAATCTATCCTCTTAACCTTTTCTCTTAATCAGCATTTTCACTCTGGCCTAACCACAAGTTTGGGATGGGGGTGACACATCATGCAGAATTTCAGCTTGTTTTACCCAGTGTTGCGCTGTGTGTGTGTGTGTGTGTCTGTGTGTGTGTGTGTGTGTATGTGGAGACAGAGAGAGAAAATGACAGAGAGAAAGGAGGACCGGTGTTAGGAGAATTAGCTAGTCATTTGGGGAAAAAAAAAAAAGTTAGATCCCCAAGACAAATTCCAGATGGATTACAGAACTAATCATTAAAAAACTCATAAAGTTTTTACAAATAGATAAAGAGGAGTATATCTATGACCTTAAACAGGAGCAACAAAAACAAATCAATAATAAAAGCAAAGACAGATGTAATCACTTCAAAATAAAAACACCACAAAGATGAAAGACGATCGACAGCTTAAGAGAAAATGTTTGCCACAGGTGACAAAGAATGAGCACCCAGAATAGTACATTGTAAGCAGAAGATAAGCTTTACCTAGAGAAATACTAAGGATGTGAATACGCAATTTACAGAAGAGAAAACACAAATAAATGGCCAGTAATCATGTGAAAAATGGTTAGGTTAACCTCACTGGTCATCAGAGAAATACAAATGAAATGAAATATCACTTTTCATGTATTAGATTGGCAAAAAATAATAAAGGTTGATAATATTAAATGTGTCAAAGGGGCTGGGAAATGCCACTGTTGTACACTGCTGTTGAGAACGCAAATGCGTACAACCTTTTTAGATGGCAATTCGGCAGTTCTATTAACATTTGGAGGCCTGGTAGTGCACTGGTTAAGAGCACGGCTGCTAATCAAAAGGTCAGCAGTTCGAATCCACCAGCCACTCCTTGGAAACCCTATGGGGCAATTCTACTCTGTCCTATACAGTCACTATGAGTTGGAATCGACTCGACAGCAATGGGTTTGGTCTGGTTTTTTTAATTAACATTCAGCATTTTGAATCTGCAGACCCTATGGCCCAGCAGTCCTGAAGCCTATGGTAGCATTTTTCACTAAATACTGTTTATAATAGAAAAAAATTAAGAAGAGTTTAAATGTCCATCAGTAGGGAAATAACTGATGTATGGAAAACTATACAGCAGTTTGAATAAGCTGGGACTTAGAGACCCACTCCAGTCTTCTATGAAATGGAAATAAATACCTCCCATGGTTTAGACAAAGGCATTCTCAAACGTCAAAATAACACAGGCAGCAAGAAATAAAGACATTAGCTGGCACCCAAAAGATCTTGTGCCTCCTTTTTTTCTAACCTGATGACAGTTAATGACTCCTTTACTTTCTGGCTCCACTTTTATCTGACATCAAGTTTTCTCCTTTTTTTTTTTCGTGAAGGTGAGAAGAAAAATATGAAGGAAAAGTAGGAGATAATGGCCCATCAGCTGGGTCTGTAAGTGCATGCCTGAGAAGATAGCCAAGCCGCAATGGTAGCAGAAAAAGGCACGTTGCAAATAGATAAGACTCAATGCGACCTTTGTAAAATAAAAAACGTCACAAAGCACAGCATTTTTGCGTAAAGATTTAGAAAAAGAACTAGAAGGATATTCCTAAATTAATAATTGTGGCTATTCCTTTCCCGGGGGGAGGGGTGGCATGGTTGTTGGGGGGATGGAATGCCAAGGGGTTCTTTATTTGATATTCATTACTTGACTCTTAAAACAATGAGAATATGTTCATGTATAACTTGTATATGTCATTTATTAATTCATTCACTTAGCAGATTTTATTGGGCACCTGCTCTTTGCCAGAGCCCTGGTGGTGCAGTGGTTAAAGAGCTTGGCTGCTAACCAAAACGTTTGGCAGTTCGAATCCACCAGCCCCTCCTTGGAAACCCTATGGGGCAGTTGTACTCTGTCTTATATGGTTGCTATGAATCAGAATTGATTCACTGGCAATGGGTTTCGTTTTTTAGTTTGGCTGTTTGCCAGGTACTGTCCTTGGTGCTGAGGATACAGAAGTAAACCAAACAAAAATCCTTGCCTTCCATACAGGTTAAATGCTAATGTGTGGAGACAGACAATCAACAAAACAAATAAATAAAATACCTAGTATGTCAAATGGAGCCCTGGTGGCGCAGTGGTTAAGAGCTTAGCTGCTAACCAAATGGTCGGCCGTTTGAATCCACCAGCTACTCCCTGGAAACCTCACGGGGCAGTTATACTCTGTCTTATAGTGTCGCTATGAGTCAGAATCGACTCAATGGCCACAAGTTTGGTTTTGCAGTATGTCAAATGATGGTAAATGCTATGGAGAAAAAAACTCTATCGGGCAGGGGGAGATGCAGTACTGGGAGAGTTTATTTTCATCTTACATCGAGTGGCCAAAGAAGGTTTCACAAAATAAATAAATAAATAAACCAGTTACCGTGGAGTAGATTCTGACTCATGGTAATGCCATGTGTGTCAGAGTAGAACTACGCTCCACAGGGTTTTCAATGGCTAAATTTTCGGAAGTACATCACCAGGCCTTTCTTTCAAGTTGCCTGAAACGTCCAGGCTTTCAGTTAGCAGCAGACTATGCTAACTGTTTGCACCCCTCCCCCCACACAAAAAAAACCAGTTGCTGTTGAATCAATTCTGGTTCATGGCGACCCCATGTGTGTCAGTGTAGAACTGTGCTCCATGGGGTTTTCTTTTTCCCATACAAAAATTTACGCGTACATTGTTATGTCACTCTAATTGGTCTCCCCATACTGTGACAGCACACTCCTCCTTTCCACCCCTGATCCCCATGTCCATTCAACCAGCTCCTAACCCACTCTGCCTTCCCATCTCAACTCCAGGCAGAAGCTGCCTGTTTAGTCTCTTATATCTACTAGAGTTAAGAGGCACACTCCTCACGAGTATCACTTTATGTCCCACAGTCCAGCCCAACCCCTGTCTGAGGAGTTGGCCTCAGAAACTGTTTTAGTTCTGGTCTGATAGAGAATTCAGGGGCCATGCTTTCCGGGGTACCTCCAGTCTCAGTCAGACCATTAAGTCTGGTCTTCTTACTAGAATTTGAGTTCTGCACCCCACCTTTCTCCTGCTCCATCCAGGACTCTCTATTGTGTTCTCTGTCAAGGCGGTCATTGGTGGTAGCCGGGCACCATCTAGTTCTTCTGGTCTCAGGCTGATGAAGTATCTGGTCCATGTGGCCCCCTCTGTCTCCTGGGCCACCACTTTCCTTGTGTCTTTGGTGTTCTTCATTCTCCTTTACTCCAGGTGGTTGGGACCAATTGGTGCATCTTAGATGGCCGCTTGCAAGCTTTTAAGACCCCAGACGCCACTCACCAAAGTAGGATGCAGAACATTTTCTTCATAAGCTTTGTTATGCCAGTT